TCTCTGGTTTCATTTAAAAGAGTCGATCATCAGATATTGTCCAAGATTAACCTTCAGGGTGGATATAGCTCGCTAGCAGCCTCTCACCAATGACCGAGTTCATGTCATCATTTACCCAGAATGCTTTGTGTGTAAATAAAAAGGCTCCGTCCGTGTAATATATATTTTTTTAAATTACAAACTAAACAGCCTACAGTATTTTTACAGTCTTTATTTTACAGTTAAAATAATTGTTTATAAAATAAAGTATAATGTTACAACTAATCGTGGATCCCTTTAAAACTCTGGCATGAAAGACAACATGTAATACGTAATTTTTCATGGAATGACAGGCCATTAATTTTCTTATTCCTGTGGACCAAAACCAAAAAAAAAGTATTTTTTTGTTTTATAGCCAAATGACAAGGAAGTTTTAGTTGAGCCGTAAAGTCATAATTCATCACCTTCCCTACATTGTTGGATGGCTCAACTTTGATCATCCATCACAAAACATGACCTCTTCCTGCAAAAGGGTCCAGCTGGCAGAGAAAAGCCCATTAGGCTATATGTCACCATATATAATCACATGTCACCTGCTAACCCGCTCTCCTCCTCCATATATTACAGCTCCTTTTGGCAAAGCTTTGTATATGGAAGCACACAGTGGCAAAGGATTAGCTGTCCTTGTCTGTCTCTGTCACACGACTGAACTGTTTTTAATGTCTTTATTTCACGAAAATGAGAAAGGCTAAAGTGGATTCAGTGGAACAACCACAGCTACAAAAAAAACCCCATCTACTCAGCAACATTTGCATTACAAAGGCTCTCCATGCCCCGTCACACACATCCTTCTGATATTGGTGCTTTGCTTTCAAACAGCATTCAGCCACCAAACAGGTCCAGAAATAAGAAAAGGCAACAATCAATAGTTCCTGTAGGGCAGGTCAACCTCTCGCTCAAATTGGCTCTTATTGACACAACTTATTCTCATCAAGAAGGTTTCACTGGTGCATAACACCAACACAAGCTGAAGCAGCACAGCGAGGTGGAAGTGTAAAACACAAACAAAACAAAAAACTGCCCAGCAAAAGGAATGCTCTTACTTTGAAATGACAGTTGTGCAGCTGTACAGAAATGGGAGACAACATTTTAAACTAAGAAACTTTATCACAGGAACTGTGGGACACGGTGTAGTCGTACTTATTCAACAAACACAGTCTCTGACAGTGTAGTCCAGACACTGACAAAGAAGCATCCCTTGGTGACACGAAGCAATTGCAGCAGAAGAACAGAAAAGAAATGCACTCACTGTGTAAACCTGAAAACACAACGTTTCCCCTGTTCCTTACAAATACATTCTCATTCCTTTTCAGCAAAAGTAGTACTAAGATCCAGAGCAATGTATCCACTTTATAATGTCTGCTCACCTCAGAATGATTAGTATTTGTGCATTATAAAATAAAGTGTCTGCAGTTTATCTTTAGCTGTTCAGTTGGCAGAGGTGCCATTCATTGCAAATCAAATCTTCATAAAACACATCAAAAATTCTAAGTCCTTTTATTTAACAATGGCTAAGAGCAAATTTAAAGGGATCCCTGATTAGTTGTTACGTTTGACTTTATATGATAAACATACTGTATACTTTAACTGGACAATAAAGACTGTAAAAATACTGTAGGATGATCAGTTTTTATAGTTTTTAAACTAAGTTTAAAAAAATATAGTACACGGACGGAGCCATTTTATTTACACACAAAGCGTTCTGGGTAAATGATGACGTGGATAGGTC